GGCTTTGAGGCCTCAATGGAACTTGCAGCCCAGCTTTGTAGGTTTTTGCTGGGATCTGATCTTCAAAATTCTTCATTGGGACTCCGAGCCGATAGCTTTTGTAGTGAGGTGCCCAAGCTCTGGTTCAGATAACTCTTGGATAGAGCTTCCTTCGCCTTTAATCTGAGCCTTGCGAACTCAAAGAGCAAGCATGCTTCACAAACGAATTGTTGTGACATGTTGCCATGTTGCCTTCTTGCCTACACTGTCCATAAGGACGTGCTTGTTGCCTTCTTAGTCCCAGACTCTTGCAGGGAGCAGCCTTTGGACGCCGCAACCTGGTTTCGAAGTGCTGAAGTTTTCTGACGGCAGAGTCCATTGGAGATGGATGGCCTGTATGGGTTGGTGGGTGCAATTATACATGTCCATCTCGAAGGAACCCAAATACATTTGACAGTGTGACATAGATAAGCCACCAGAGCCTCGCCATCCTCCGGCCTAAGATTGGTCCAATTGAAAAGCACAAACTTGACTACTCGCCACAATAAGATCTGGACAGCTGATTGGCCACGTCTTTCTTTGCCTCAGTTCTGTGAGCAACCGTTCATTCACCTTCGTGTCCACTGTGCCTGTTGGCAACGGTGCTAAGCCCCGAGCAAACAACTTGTTCAGGGACTTTGCCAAGCTCCCATTCAAGTAGCTTTTGGACAAAGTCTCTCTTGCTTTGCTCCGTAGCCTCAGCCACTCAGACCCTCGGAGGCATGAGATGCACCATGCACCTCCGGAGTATGCCGCACCTTTGGGGATCACGACAACGCGTCTGGTGGACTTCTTGCCCAGGAGTGATAGGCCTCGGTGGCCCAGGGAGTTCATTGGCTCAGATCACTTGATTGGAGCTTTCAGCATCACTCGAAAACACTTTCTTCTCAGATTAAAGAAGTAAAAAATAGAAAGGTAAAAAGCTAGATGGTAGACCTTAATTCACCTCTTGATTGTTTGGCCTGCACAGTTTGGCCAAAGAACCACCTGCATCTCAAGACTCCCCGCATCTCCACCGCTGTGTCTTCCTGGACCTTGAGCTCACTGGCCGGCCGCGCGTTCAGACTTGAAGTCTGTTCCGCTCGAGCGGCATCCGCCCACAAGAGCCTCCATGCGGGGATCGACTGGGCCGTTCGAGGACGTGGATCCCGAAAGGACTGAGTGACGTGGACTGACATGTTTTCACCGTTGGACACTGATTTTACAACCAGTTGACGTGGTCCAATGGATTCCCCTAGTTGAGGCTTCCATCACCCACACGCATCGCATCGCTCTGGCCTCATGAATTGATATGGGTCCTTGCAACTGGAATCTGCAAAAGTCATCTGGCATCATACATTGAATTCACCAGTTCAGGACACTCAGATTCTGGTGCTTTCAAGTCTTCTTGTCTGTGCACTTTGAACTCTCAAGACATCTAGCATTCCAGAGATTTAGCATTCCCAGCTTCTGCCGCTCCTTGGGCTGCTGAGTAAGCAGTTGATCAAAGACCTTCTTGACAAACTGAGGCCTTGGCCACCGGTGGCCACGAAAGTCTTCGGATGCTCAAGGGAGTCCCAGATTCAAGGCATGTTCCAAGAACCCATGCACCAGGTGATATCAATTGTCCATGTCCCAAGAGTTTGGGCTCAAGTGAATGGCTCCCACAATGCATCAAACTGAGCCACAAAACATCACAAATGCATAATAAGTTAAGCAGAAGAAAGGCTATTTCGCCGGGCCACAAGCTATGCTTCTGCAAGTAGGCCTCTGCCGCAGCCTCCTGAGCTGTTTGCTGCTGAGGTGAAGATCGGCAATGACTTCATCTGATGACAACCTGTCCAACTTGAAGATGTGGAAGGTTCCGATTCAAGCACACTGCAAATCCTTCAAAAAACTGGTCCATTTACCACGGGCCAACAGCAATCATGAAGGAAAACCTGCATGCATCCTCTGGCAGGTGTGATCTTCAAAAGTTTAAAAGCACCCTGATGCCGTAGCACCCTGTGGTGTGGCTCCTCCTCCGACGTGGGGACCTTCTTATCTTCAGACCACTTCCGGGTACGGAAGGTGACCTCAGAAGTGGTGAAGAACACCAGGATGAAGGACATGTCTTGCGAGCGATTCAGTATATTGTGTGCTACAGTATGATATAATGTACATTATATAAATGTTAATGTAAACATAATATATTAATGGATTATTAATGTAAAACACACTTGAAGTGTTGTCTCAGGTGTCTTGCATAATGTGAATCAATGCCATGAGCGCCATCAGCCTGCATTTTAGTTGCAAGCTTGGAGAATCTGAGCCTCAAACACTCATCGAATGACCGTCTTTACTCCGAAGGTGCACCTGCGCTGGAGACATGGATGTGGCTGTGACACCTAACGTCGTAGCTCGTTGTGGCTGTGACCCCAACAACTCACACCCACACGCGCACGTGTGGCTCCTTGTACAATCCATCTTCTCCACGACACTCATCCAAAGCGGCCTGGGGAGTGAACTGACACACACACACACACACACCCACACACGCACGAGCGCACGCCATCAAATCTAGCTTCAAAGATGCTGTTGCACGTCCCCGTTTCTCATTTTGGACTAATCAGCTCCCACAAAACTGGGAGATGACCGAAGCACGGCTACTCAACAGCTTTCTCTATGTGCCGCCATTGCAAATAAAGGCCACCTCTCTTGGGTTGGAGGCCATCGCTCTTAGGCTGGAGGCCATCGCTGTTAGGTAGGAGGCCATCGCTCGTTGGTTTCCGCGCTTGCGTGGTCTCTGCGCCGAAGACTCGACTCGCCTTTGAAATGCCACCACTTCGCCTGAAGACTCGAAGCTCCAGGGGCACTGGCCTCATCTGTGGACGAATTGGGGAGACCAAAGATCTAGAGCTGGGAACACCAGGGGCCTTGAGATGGACTCATTGGATGTCCCTTCTTGAAGCTTTTGCAACTACAGCCGCTTTGTGTGTGTGTCTCTCTATATATATATAGAGAGAGAGAGAATCCTCCATGATAGTTTCACACATGGCCCTCTGCTGGGCTGAATTCACCCATCTAAAGCCAGAATTGACCATATCTAGACTAGACTTCCTGAGACACAAAGAAGAATTGAAAGGCCCCTCTCAATTCGCATCTTCAACTTTCCAGTCAATGTGCGCATCAGCTAGACTAGCATCCTTGGGAAGATGACATTTGGATGCAAGTTGAGGGCTCAGACGGCTTCTGCACATCAAAGAAGACCTGTTTGGATGTAAAAAAGAGTCAATTGAATTTTCTTTGTTGGACTTCCACTAGCTGCAACAGCCCATAACTGAGATAGAATCATCTGCAAATCTGCCAATCCATCCATAATAATGTAGTGATAACTAATTTGAACAAAAACGTATTTTGCTCTAAATAACCTAAATTAACATAAAATGACGAACAGTTACATATAGAAAAATCACATCTGGCCAAATCCATCTCACCTCGTCAGCCAAATGCCTTTGCTGTCGAACAGCACCACAACGGACCTCACAAAGTCGCAGTCCGACCGTCGACATGGACCCCCAAGACCCAAAAGATGTGGACTCGGATGGACAATGTTCAGTGAGGTGGTGTTCAAAACACATAGTTTTAGCACTGACCGTTGACACACGGACATGTACAAGTACCCAGACTCGTTCAACTCGGGTTCATTCCAACTCTCAGGAGCCAGGCGCACAGGTGGTCTGCCAATGGGACTCCCTGAATCTTCGCCTCCAGGCGCATGCCTCACAGGGACGAAGACGAACTGGGGTCTGTGACGGTCTGAGACGATGCAACCGACAGCGCCCAAGGCCCCGCTCCCGAGGTCCTCAGGTGCTGATGAGGTGAGGCCGCTTGAAAGCAGCACCTTCGACTTGCTATGACCACATCGCTACCTGCTTCGTGTCCCTGGTTCCTGAGAATAGTGAGGAATAGTAAGAAACAAGAGACTGGTATTGCCTCAGGTTTCACCCCTCGAAATATCTGAGATACCGTGAATTCCGGAGAAACAAAGAAGATTGAGTCACATTGAGACATTGAATGCATTTACGGAAGCTCCGACATGGAACAAGAGGAAAACTGGTGTCTCCCATGATTGTCAGCCTTTGAGCGATTCACTCTGCCGCCATGCTGCACCTTCCAAGAAAACCCAAAGCAGATTGAAAAAACAACATGATCACCGTCCTCAGAATCGCTGCGCGCTGTAGAGCTTGAGAAACGGCACCGGCAAAACACAGGGCAAGTTGAATCAATTTGATAGAATTGAACATCTTGACAATCTGCAGTGCTTTCTACGATTGAGGCAATCAAACCGCCTTGCAGGCTGGAGAACAACTCGCATAATAATTGTTTGCATTGATTGAGTTTGCATGAACAACTTTTCAATCAATGTGGGTTCGCCCCACCAGCAAGCGTTACAGACCTGAAGCAAAGGTTTCATCCGTTCCACATTGGATCTCTGTCACTTAGCCGGGTCTGGTCTTTTTGATCTAGGTTTGAAGAACTTGGTCAAATAAATCCAGCCAAAGTGCAAGTCCACAGCATTTGAGAAAGTCTTTAAGCCTGGGTTCCAGCAGCTCAAGAAGCAGGGCAAAAGCCTTCTTGCAAAGTGTACAGATGTATAATAAGTTCATGACAGTTTCTGCAAACCATCACCTTGACCTGGAAGCAACCCGTGTAAATTGAACGTGGTCGTGGATCTAAATTCTATCAAGCGCAAATCTTCAACATGCCGAAGAAAGGACACCCGTTTGATGCTGTTTGATGTTGGAATCGAAGTGTCCACACAGGTCTTGCATTTTCTATTCAAGCATCACTTGCTCCGTGATTTGACTTCCCCACAACAACTCGCCTTCACCAGATTTCGATCCATGACTCTCCTTGGCATGCAGGCTCTGATCCCAGCTCGGGCACGCATCTATCGTATAAGGTTGAATATTCCCCCATCGGAGCTTCAGCATCGACCGATGTTGGAGCTTCAGCTTCCAACTCGCCTTGCTGCCAGGCGACCAGCAAACCCATCAACTCTTCTGAGGACGACATGAGGTCCAGGGCTGACTGGTCCCTGGCAAATCAATCTGAAGGATGCCGAGTGAAACAGCGCTGAAAAGGACGTTCTTTGCATGCATGGGTCCAAAATGATCCAAGATTCCAAGTTCAGTGGAGGCTAAAGCAGAGGTAGAAGTCACTTTGAAGAATAGACTAAGTAATAAACTTGACTTTACTCCTCGGGAGTCCATCCATCACTCAGAAGTTTCTTTAAACTGCCTTGGATAAATACACATAATAGTACATATTTGCACACATTTTCTGTCAGACAGCACATGCATCAGCATTCCCCTCTCCATCATGCAAGGGACAACATGCCTGTCACAACATGCCCGTTGCAATGCTGCCTAGTGAATACAGTAAATGAAAAAAAAACAACATGTTGTCCTAGAATCCTAGAAGCTGTGGTTGCAAGAGTTGGGCTGGTTTCAGCTGCACAGGTGGAGGCGTGAACATCAAAAGAAGATTAAGAAAAGCTCTTTTGCGAGCTCTGTGGAAGAGTTGAAAGTAAGTGGACTGAAAATTTGAGAACAACAGTTGAGCATGGTCAATGATCCTTCAAGTCCTTCATGGATTCTCAAAGTAGTACCACCCCCCAGTACGCAGAACTTGCTGCCAAGAGGTGAACACTTATTGTCAGTGCCAAGAGGTGGACCCTTTTGCAATGCCACGGGAGGAAAGAAAGGAAAGAAAGGAATCCCAACCCTGCCACCCCCTGCGCCAACCCTGCTCTTCAGCACAGATGCTTGACAGCTCGTGCCTTAAATCCCTCGGTTCATGGCCGGTGCCTTAGCCTAGCCCCCTCTGTCAGGTTCCAGGTCTACATCCCTGCGTTGTGTGGGAAGCCCAACTAGTAGAACGCTGGACACCAGGGAAACTTTTCACAAACACTCTTATAATTCATTATAATTCTATAACTACCATATGCCTGGTCTTACGCAAGGCCCTCCATACTCGGCAAAGTCAAGTTGATTCTTCAAAGTTACTTCTACTTGTACTTTAACCCCCACTGAATTTTGACCCTTGGATCATTTTGAACCCGAGAAAGCCCGGCATTATTTCAAACGATACAGTTGATACCGCAGCACTAGTGGTCTACAGCTGGTCTTTGTGACCTTCGTTTCCTCCCGCGAGAAATTCAGACCTCACGCCCTCCGACAAAAAGGCCCAAAAAGACCCCGCCTGGGGCCAAGCACGTGGGCGTCAGCAGCCTGGGACAGTGGATCCAAACATTGACATCCCATTGAGCAATGGCTTCGAAGACAATGATTACTACTTAGAAACAACAACACAACTCAACATATGGGCGTAATAACCCCGCGCTCAGCGGTTTAGTATTGGCATGCACCTTAACACTACTAATGCATTCCTACCCCAGAAAACAATAAGAGCAAAAAAAAACGATAACAATGATTATACCTGCACATTCAGAACAAAAAGCTACTAGGGGCTCCTGGCCTTACTACTAGGAACAAGAAGCTGCTAGGGTCTCCTGGCCTTACTACTAGGAACAAGAAGCTACTAGGGACTCCTGGCCTTACTACTAAGATTAATAACAAAAAGCTACTAGGGACTCCTTGCCTTACTACAAAGCAACATCGCTACCAGGAACAAGAAGCTCTTAGGGGCTCCTGGCCTTGCTACTAGGAACTGAATGGGCTGTTTGGTCCATATGCTGCAGCTGTTTACATGAACCACGGAAATGGCAACCTGCAAAGGTGTCCGGAACGATAACACAACGATAACGAAATGTAGCAAAAAGCAGCCCTGGTGGGCAAGTACCCATTTGACTGTTAAGTGTGCGATGTGGTAGTCTTGTTTAGCTGTCTATATCTGATCTTTGCTGCTGCCATGTCTTTACCACCAAAGACGGTGTACGCCTTGGTACAGGCAGTGCTACGGGATCCTGAAGTAGGACCATGTAGACCACCAAAGGACATCTTTTGATTTGTGATCTTCCACCAAAGATGCTTTCACCTGAGAAAACGATAAGAGTAGAAAAAACGATAACATGGTTTCGAGGTATTGCAAAAGACACGGGGTTTTACAACACCCCATATAGAATACAGCCAGTTTTACTCCCTAACTCTCGCACCATGGATGGCGGAAGACGTGCTTACCTCTAGATGCCATGCTCTCGCTCTCTCTCTCTCTCTCTCACACACCCACGTGAGCAAAGCAGGAGCTTCAGCAAAGGACAGCAAAGCAATAAGATTATAGAGAGTCTAGTCTGTTCAGCTAGATGCTTGGCTTTATGGGGAATTGTCTCGTGAACCGCTTCCTGACGTCAGCTTCAAGCAGGGTAAAGATGCTAAAGACTGCTGAAGTGAGTGCCACCATCCTCAACACACTGTACGATGTAAAAACATGTTCTGTCGAAAATGCAGCCAAAGCTACGGCATGAAGCAGCAACTGAACAGTGTCCTGGCGGCTAGTCATCAGTCATCACTCAAATTTCAGCAAAGCCTCTGACATTTGCTCCAAAATCTTTAGATCTATGACTCAATGACACATTCTTTGACAGCCTTCAGGTTTCTTACCTGACGTATTGTTTTCTTCCTCGCATCGAGCACTCTCGCCTTCAAGCCCGGTTTCTTCAGGGAGCCTTCAATGGGACACACCAGGCCATCCTCGCGATGTCTTCGGGGAAAGACGTCTCCCCCTCCGGTCCGTGTTGGGATGAAGTTGAACTCCAGCATCTACCCAACAAATTAAACTACTTCAAGCGGGGAAGTTGTAACCCATCTTGCTTCGGCCAACAGCCTGTCCTTCAGCTGCGTTTCCAATGCATACCTCAGTGAAAAGAAGGTATCAAAGGCTCTCTACTGACCTTACAGTAAAATAAAATCAACTCTGGAAGAGGCTGAATCTGACTGCATTACCTGGTTACCTTGAATCTGAAAACTTTTGAAACTTGAAATCGTTTGATTAAGCTTGGTGAGGTTGACATGCCACCCTATCCCTTCAGAGTACTTCCCTACCAAGTTTCCAAGCACGGTTTTAGGAGCTTCCAAGCTTTCCTGGCAGCCATTCCCAGTGTCCCAGTGAATGACAATGTTTCCTCCCTCCTCAAGTCAGGCAGCAGCAGGGCGGTGTACCCATTCTCCGATTGTGCATTCACATCCGCAGTATGCTGCAGGAGAACCCTGACCACCTCTACATACCTCACAAAGAACGCCAAGAAACAGGACAGCCCATTGAATCATTGATGGTTGAGGCTCACAAAGAGTGATACACAAAGCATCAAATAGCATTGAAACTCCAATGAAATGTGTCACCTAAATGTGGGCACTCAGGCCACAGATTTACTCATTAGCTGCAAGCCGGTCTACGCTTGTGCAGCTGCAGACATGAGCGGCGTCTTGCCATTCCTGGGTGCAAAGTGATCGTGTCTTTAATCGATTTGATGGGCTCAAGATGGCTCGTTTGAAACCGATGTTCCTCCCCTAAGAATGATCCAAATCAATCGAACCTTCCAATTCTTCTAAGCCCGCGACCCATAGCGGCAGTTAACATCCGCCAGCTTCTCCAATAGACGTCCCACGGTCCCCGCATGGCCTCGGTTCGCACGTCCGGTCCGCTGGTCCCGGGGCTCGGATCGGCCGCAGCGACGTCCGTCGTCACGCCTTTGTCGGCCGCCATGACCAAGGCAGTGAGGCCGATGTCCTCGGGCACCGGTGCGCGGGGTCAACCCCTCCCAAAGGGCAACGGAGAGAAAACCCCCAACATCGCCTACGAAGGACCTCCCCAAAAGGGGGATTTCTCCAAGTTGTGGACATCCCATGGACTTGGGACCGAGACAGAAATTGATGGTCTCCGCGGTCTCCGGTGGACTGGCTAAGTGGTGCCAGTCGAAGAGTTCAAAAGGACATGGTCAAAAACGCGGGGGTCGCCAGACAGAAACACCTCGATTCAAAGAAACCGTTCAAACCATACCGGTCGTTGAGATGGAGGTTCTTCATATGGAACCCACTGGACCAATATGGACCAACCATTGCATCACTAGGGTCATCGGAGGGACTTGGATATGATCTGCAAATGACCCTAGCGTTCTATTCCTCCATTCATTGTGGACCGATGGCTTGAAGATTCCAACATCTCAAGTGTTGCATGCTTCTTTCATGTCTGCTCCGGAATTCTAACAGCCAGAAACCGAAACCCGCCTCGAAACAACTCTGTGCATTGCGCATAAACACTCTGCCCAACATATCTCAACATGGCATCTGCCGCAAAGACTGCATAGAGAGACTTCACCCCCACACGATGTCACTTTATTTGGACCTCGCTCTCTCCCACCTGCCCAAGAGATGCTGCTTACCTGCCAACCACGCATCTCCAGCTCTCGTCTCTGGCCAACCAAGACTCTGAGGCCAAGCTCACCTCTGCCGCCCGTTCCAACAGGAGCTCCACCAAAGCCGTCGAGCCTCCGGTCGCACAGTGGCGCGGGGTGCCCACATCAAGAAAGCTGGCTGCGACTTCGGCGACGGGTCCGGCTGGTTTGAGACTGATGGACGGATGGGATGGTTTTAGACTGATGATGTGTTCCGAGACCAAGCCACAGGACCAATCTCGGATGGGATCCTTGATGGACATCTCATGTGTGCAGAGATAAATGCGCGGAGTCTCAATCGCTCTCCAGGTGCTCAATGGATTCAATTCTTTTCTCCAAGTGGATCGCTGATCTGCCCAGACTATCAGCGGCATTGCCCCAAAAGACATCAAAAGACTGCTAGCCGACGATGGGGAGAAACACCTGCAAGATTCATTCCGTATGGTGACGCTTAACAAATATCTATACAAATATATACATATATAATATACATACATACATACATACATACATGGGAGTTGATCTAAATTCCTTTATCCGGGATCCGTCATTTTCGCCAAAAAAAAATTACTTTCGCCAAACTTTCGCCTTCCTTCGTTTTATTTTTCGCCGAAGTACGTTGTATTTATGTGTGCCATGTATGTTGTGTTTTGTTCACGTCAATGGCTTTTTCTTTACTGGCAAACACAACATAGAAACTTCACTGTTTGTCAGCATGTGTCTTCTACTTAACTGTTGACACCCTGTACGTCTCTTTTGTTTCTCCTGGGTGTCAGCAAAAATCAAAATTGCAAGAATCACTGTAGTAGCCGGTCACTCAAACTTACTCATAATGGGCTGGGGGTCAGATGTGGCAGGGTGAACTTTCGCCAATCTTGAGCTGAACTTTCGCCAAACTTTCGCCTTTTGCGGGGTAGAGTTTTGTGGCAAAGCCACCCCCCAAAGCAGGAGCAGGAATAGCAGTAGTAGTAGTAGTAGCAGCAGCAGCAGCAGGTTATCTAACTTCCACAGCTCATCTAGCTTCTGAGTCACTGCCACCAGCTGTTCAGAAAGCAAATGAACATTCATACAAAAGTACATATTTAATCTTTCGCCAGATCTTTCGCAAAAAAATACTTTCGCCAACTCGAGAAAAAACTTTCGCCAAATGAGATTTTGATATGTTCCGGGTCATCGTCATACACACTGCTGACTAGGACCTTTAGATCGACAACCACATACATACATACATACATGGCTCAAGGCCGTGAGCTCTCAAGGTCGTCCCCAAAAACCGACCAAGTGCGCTTCCCGCGGCGCCGCGCTACACACATATCACGTGTGGATTTCCTCGGCAACCCTACTCCTTTGAGTCCCTCGGCGGCCCTGGACTTTTCCCGTGATAGAGACTGTCACAGAGGAGGTGAACTGATTCCACCTGGCCTTTAAGACCGGTGCCTCAACTTGCGGGATTTCTTGAACCATACTGGCCTACAACCTTGCGGTTACCACAGGCCTGATCGTGCTCGAAGCCTCAACACCCCACCTGATCCAGGAGTATGACGCCGCAATGGGGACGTGCGTACATGACCTGCTCGAAACCAGACTGCTACAACTGGATCTGGGCTGACAAGGTCAGAGCTGGAACCAAATGCAGAAGATGCGGCACCTGGTGGCCAGACATGACACCACGAAATGGGAAAGGCAAAGGCTATGGACGACCAGCCAACAAGCACACACCTCAGTCGACGTGGTTGGACACCCCGCCAGGCCTCACGAAAATCAGGCCATTGAAAAGGACAAAGGTGCAACAAGAAGCGACAGAACTCCTCAATAGCAGTTGGGCCAGCTTGCCGGAGGACACCCAGAACAAGCTCCAAGCTCTCGGCATAGGTCCCACAAAACCAGAGGAACCAGAGCTCACTGATCTTTTGAAGACGCATATGGATGCTTTGCCGCCACAGGTCCAACAAATCGTGACCAAGCTCACGGCACCCGAACCATGCTCTGAGCGTGACATTGCCACCAAGCTCAAAAGCCAGGTCACAGACCTCAAGGCCATGTCCATACGAAAAAACCAGCTGCAGGAGAAGATTGATGGAGTCAAGGCCCAATATGCCTCCCTCTTAACTGACATGCAAGAGCCCCAGGGCAAATTGGCTGACGGGCAGAAAGCACTCCACAAGCTTTCCCAGGACTATATGACCGCCATCAACAAAACACCAGCACCAGCAGAATTGCCTGACGGCAATGGCGAGCCCGAGCAGATCCCAATGGCCGTAGAGTCCTTTGTACACAGTTTGGGAATCTCCCTCACCGAGGAGCAGAAAAATCAGCTCCACGGGCTCCTCAAGCGGCCCAATCAGGACCCGGATGACCCGACCAAGAGGAGGAAAACTGACGCTGCAGCCATACCGCCACCTGGACATGGTGGGTAACAGGGACAGGGAGTTTCCACTTATGGGATGGACTTTTCCGCTGCCGGAAGATGACACATGGTCATGCGAAGGGACGGAAGAGCACAGCTTGGGACATCTTGTGGAACAAGAAAATTTTGTTGACGAGGCCATGGAACCACCACCTCACCATCAGTGGATCCACCTCACCAAAGATGACACAGAAACATACCGGAACACTTGTGAAGGGGAGATTTCACAACGAGATACCGGGTTTTCGGACGACCTGAGCTCACGAGACACCATATGGGATTGCCGTGCTGCCTCAGGCTCAACAGCTTTTACCATTTCAAGTGCTTCACGTGTTGGGGAAAACACATGCAGCATTTCTTTGGAGCTATCTCCACATAGCTCAAATCAAGGGGCCATAGTTGCAGGGGTGGAGCAACTCGACTCTTTCTCATCGCCCAACGAGAGTCCAATTTTGACATCATCCTCTTTACCTGCACCGCCGGCACCACATGGGCCTTGGCTGACGCTCACAGGAGGTGCCTCAAGCACTTCAAGCACTCCAGCCACCTCCGCTGACACAGGAGCAAGGGCATCCTTGATGAGCGGTCATTACTATGCCTCGACCACGGACCTCCTCCTCCAGAATTTGAGCATGGTGGTCGGAAATCCCAGTGCCAGGTGCTACGCTAATGCACCCTGGCGTGCCTTCTGCTGGATGTGTGCCTATCTGGCGGAATTCAACCGCGACCCATGGGGAGTGATCAAGGATGCAGTCCAAACCTCCTTGGAGCTCACCGAACCAGTTGACATCCAGCAACTGCCAGGCCTACACCAGCTGTGGGAGAAGCACAACCTGAACATCGAAGGAGACGCAGCCCATTTTGTGCATTCCTTGTGGGTCCACTCCCAAACCCGCGTTCTCCAATACCGCCACACTGAGATCAAAGAGGGTGGCTACATCACAGAGCACATCCAAGTCCCGTTAATTGTGGACTACCCTGATGAATTTCTCGATGAAATCACCTGGCAAGAACTCATGAACTGCTGGGCCAACCAAGGTTATGGCCAGTACCTCGGGGACGACAAAATGGTCCACATCAGTCACATCAACCGCGCTGTCACCATCGACGGCACGGTGACAAAACACAAACGAGCCCTCAACCCCCATGGACCATACACCGTCCCCCGCTCCCTTGACGGTTTCTCCAGAGCCAGTGCAGAGTACATTCCAATGGCGTACATCTGCCACAGAGGACCCACCCATGAGACAGGGCACTACTACGCCATCCTCGTGTACAAGGACCTCATGTGGATTGCAGATGATGGAGCCAATCCAAAGGTGCTTCCCTTTTTGACACCACAAATTGCCGGCCAGATCGTGCAAGTTTGGGGCATCCAGACCACAGCACTGGTTCAACCAAGACAGATCGCCCGGGCATTGCCACCGCCCGAAACCCCAGACTACGATCCACCACTTCACGGCACACCACCCAAGAAGGCACGGCACACACAAGAGCACATGCGCCTCCATGTAGCCAACATCACTGCCTTTGGGAAAAGCACTCTCGACTGGTACTGGTCCCGAGACAATGAAATTTATATCATGGTGGAGACCCATCTTGATCGGCAGAAACATCAATCGATGTGCCAGTACTTCGAGGTCAGAGGCAGACATGCTTTCGGGTATCCAGCACACAGCAACACCACCAATGAAGGCACACATGGGGGCATCATGGTCATCCACGACACGGCCCATGGACTAACCCAACTTGAAGCCTTTGAGGTTGAAGGATGCGGATACCAAGCCTTCCTTTGGGAAGCCAAAGCCAGATCCATCCTGGTCGTTGCCGTCTACCTCAAAACCAATGAGTCGATTCAAGGCACGACGAATGCCCAAATCCTGGCCCGCATCCTGGCGCTCCTGGATGCCTCCACCCGGCAGTTCATCTTGGTTGGCGACTGGAACAACCACCCGGAACAATTCCAAGGAACAGTCCTTGATTCCAAATTCCACTGGCAAATCCTCGCCCCAGATGCCACCCTGCTCAATGGCAATACAGTTGACTATGCCATTGTTCAACAAACCTTGGCAGCTTGCACCTCCATGACCACAGAATGGGCTGTCCCTTGGCGACCACACTGCCTCCTCACCTACGCCCTTGAACTGGGAGATGATTTCCGGCTTTACAACCAAATCCGGAGTTTCCCTCCACTACCCAATGTGCCCGACATCGGCTTCCGCGCCTGGAGCACCTATGTGTCTCAGGTCGAACAGCTTCAGTTGTACGAAAGCAGCCCAAACTCAGGAGCCCAAACTCTTGCAGATTGGACATCCATCACCGAACAATACCTACTGCAACAGCACCCCTGGGCTCCACAGGGACGTGGTTCTAACCTGACCACTCAGCACCTACCCCTGGTACCGGCCAAAGCCGGCGGCCTATGGAAAAAAAGGCAAGGCAGCCTTCTGGGAGCAGATCCAGGCCAGACTTAATTTGATCCAAAACCAGCCCGCCAAAGCCTCAGGCGCCATCCACGGGCTCAACAAAGCTCTCCAGCGAGTCCAGCACCACTGGTTAGGAGATCAGACCTGGGGCCAGTTTCTCGACACCCATCACCATTGGGTACAGTTTCGGGACGACCGCACCTTTGAACTCCTGCAACAGACGGTGCAACACCAACTTGAAGCAGCACAACAACAAAGCAG